GAGACGGGAGTCTTCCTATGTTGCCAGGGTTGGTTTTGAACTCCTGGGCTCAAGCAGTCCTCCTGCCTCAACCTCCCAAAGTGCTGAGAGTATAGGCATGAGCCACCAGGCCAAGACAGTATCTTTTATTTTATTTTAATATTTATTTTATTTTTTGAGGCAAGGTCTCATTCTGCTGTCCAGTCTAGAGTGTAGTGGCGAGACCATGGCTTACTGCAGCCTCAACTTCCTGGGCTCAAGCAGTCCTTCCATCAGCCTCCCAAGTAATTGGAACTATAGGCACACACCACCACGCCAACTAATTTTTTCTATTTTTTGTAGAGATGGGGTCTCACCATGTTGTCTAGGCTGGTCTTGAACTCCTGGGATCAAGCAATTCTCTCGCTTCAACCTTAAAAGTATCTTTTTCTTTTTAAATTTATTTATTGTTTTGAGACAGGATCTTGCTATGTTACCCAGGCTGCAGTCCAGTGGCACAATCATGGCTCATTGCAGCCTGGATCACCTAAGCTCAAGTGATCCTCCCACATCACCTCCCAAGTAGTTAGGACCACAGGTTTGTGCCACTATGGCTAAACAATTTTTTTGTATTTCTTTTTTTCTTTCTTTCTTTCTTTTTTGGAGACGGAGTTTTGCTCTGTCACCCAGGCTGGAGTGCAATGGCACCATCTCGGCTCACTGCAACCTCCGCCTCCTCCTGGGTTCAAGCAATTCTCCTGCCTCGGCCTCTCAATCAGCTGGGATTACAGGCACCCACCACCATGCCTGGCTGATTTTTTTGTATTTTCAGTAGAGATGGGGTTTCACCAGGTTGGCCTGGCTGGTCTCGAACTCCAGACCTTAGGGTCAAATAAGGAAACAAAGGCTTAAGGCCAGCATGGTGGCTCATGGCTGTAATCCCAGCACTTTGGGAGGCCAAGGAGGGCAGATCACTTGAGGTCAGGGAGTTTGAGACCAGCCTGACTAACATGGTGAAACCCCATCTCTACCAAAAATACAAGAAATTAGCCAGGCATGGTGGCAGGTGCTGGTAATCCCAGCTATTCAGGAGGCTGAGGCAGAAGAATCTCTTGTACCTCTGAGGCAGAGATTGCAGTGAGCCAAGATCGTGTCACCGTACTCCAGCCTGGGCAACAGAGCAAGACTCCATCTCAAAAAAAGCACATATTTTTAAACGTGGTGGTGCCAGTAACATTCTTTTCCTTGATCTGGATGCTGTATGTCTTCATCAAGTTGTCCACTTATGATATGTGCATTTCTCTGTGTGTACAGTATACTTCAATTAAGATAGATTTTAAACGGCCAGGCATGGTAGCTCACGCCTGTAATCCCAGCACTTTGGGAGGCTGAGGCAGGTGGATCACAAGGTCAGGAGTTTGAGATCAGCCCGACCAATATGGCGAAACCCTCAACTAAAAACACAAAAATTAGCCAGGCATGGTAGTGTGCACCTGTAGACCCAGCTACTTGGGAGGCTGAAGCAGGAGAATCGCTTGAACTGGGAGGTGGAGGTTGCAGTGAGCCGAGAGCACGCCACTGCACTCCAGCCTGGGTGACAGCAAGATTCCATCTCAAAAACAAAAAAAGATAATTTTTAAAAAATAGGCCAAGTGTGGTGGCTCACGCCTGTAATCTCAGCACTTTGGGAGGCCTAGGTGGGTGGATCACCTGAGGTCAGGAGTTCAAGACCAGCTTGGCCAACATGGTGAAACCCGTCTCTACTAAAAATACAAAATTAGCCAGTGTGGTAGCACATGCCTGTAGTCCCAGCTACTCGGGAGGCTGAGACAGGAGAAGAGCTTGAACCTGGGAGGCAGAGTCTGTAGTAAGCTGAGATGCAGCCACTACACTCCAGCCTGAGCAAGACAGAGCAATACTGTCTCAAAAAAAAAAAAAAAAAAAAAAAAGGGCTGGGCGCACTGGCTCACATTTGTAATCCCAGCACACTCTGGGAGGCCAATGTGGGTGGATCACAAGATATTGAGACCATCCTGGCCAACATGGTGAAACCCCGTGTCTACTAAAGATACAAAAATTAGCTGGACGTGGTGGGCTCTGTCTGTAGTCCCAACTACTTGCTGATGCAGGAGAATTGCTTGAACCCAGGAGGCAGCGGTTGCAGTGAGCCGAGACCATGCCATTGCATGCCAGCCTGGGCAACAAAGTGAGACTCCATCTTAAAAAAAAAAATGAAGGTTAGACAGAAACTCTCATTCATTGGTGGTTGGGATGCAAAATGGTACAGCCACATATGGAAGACAGTTTGACAGTATGTTACAAAACTAAACATACTTTCACTATAAGATCCAACAATTGGAGGCTCCTTGCTATTTATCCATGAGTCCATAGAAACCTGAACATGGATATTTACAGCACCTTTATTCATAATTGCCAAAACTTGGAAGCAAACAAGATGTCCTTCAGTAGGTGAATGGATAAATCCTGTGTGGCTGTGTAGGAGCAGGGCATATGAGAACTCTGTAACATCTGCTTGATTACACTGTCAACCTAAAAACTGCTCCAGGCTGGGCACGGTGGCTTGCGCCTGTAATCCCAGCACTTTGGGAGGCCGAGGTAGGTGGATCACTTAAAGTTAGGAGTTCAAGACCAGCCTAGCCAACATGGTACAGCCCCATCTCTGCTAAAAATACAAAACTAGCCAGGTATCGTGGTTTGAGATGGAGCAAAACTCCATCTCAAAAAAAAAAAAAAAAAGAAAGAAAAAGAAAAAAGAGATAATGAGATAATTCAGGGTAAACTGAGGGGATATTTGATGATGGTATGGAATTATTTTTACTTTTTTTCAACAATGATTTTTGGCAGTGATATTTTTAATTTTTTAAATGTGATTATAATATTGTAATTAAAAAGAGAGACATATTAAAGTATCTATAAATGGAATAAAATAATGTTTAGTATTTGCTTTAAAATAATCTAGTGGCAGCCAGGCGCGGTGGCTCACGCCTATAATCCCAGCACTTTGGGAGGTCGAGGCGGGTGGATCACAAGGTCAAGAGATCGAGACCATCCTGGTCAACGAGGTGAAACGCCGTCTCTACTAAAAATACAAAAATTAGCTGGGCATGGTGGTGCATGCCTGTAGTCCCAGCTACTTGGGAGGCTGAGGCAGGAGAATTGCTTGAACCCAGGAGGCAGAGGTTGCGGTGAGCCGAGATCGTGCCATTGGACTCCAGTCTGGGTAACAACAGCGAAATTCCATCTCAAAAAAAAAAAAAAAAAAAAAAAAATCTAGTGGCAGGGGTGTGAGAAGTAGGGGGATAGAGATGAGACAGTTGTCCATGTGCTATTACTAAAGCCTGGTGATGGGGACACAGGGATATTTACATATACAAAAACAGATACAAAAATAGAATAGTGGGCCTGGCGCTGTGGCTCACGCCTATAATCCCAGCACTTTGGGAGGCCGAGGCAGGTGGATCACGAGGTCAAGATATCGAGACCATCCTGGTCAACATGGTGAAACCCCGTCTCTACTAAAAATACAAAAATTAGCTGGGCATGGTGGCGCACGCCTGTAGTCCCAGCTATTTTCAGGAGGCTGAAGGAGAATTGCCTGAACCCAAGAGGCAGAGGCTGCGGTGAGCCGAGATCGCGCCATTGCACTCCAGTCTGGGTAACAACAGCGAAACTCCGTCTCAAAAAAAAAAAAAAAAAATAGAATAGTGTACATTTCCTGTACACTATTCTATTTTTGTATATATTTGAAATGTGCTAAAATTGAGAGGTAGAACAATTTTCCCTCTATTTTTCTTCATTTTTCACACTTCCTGATACTTTAACCTATTTTATACCTATTTTGTATTTTTTTTTTTTTCAAGACAGGGTCTCACTCTGTAGCCCAGGCTGGAGTGCGGTGGCACAACCCAGGCTCACTGCAACTCCTTCCTCCCAGGATCAAGCAATTCTCTCACTTCAGCCACCCACTTCAGCTGGGATTACAGGCGTGTGCCACCACTGCCCCCGGCTAATTTTTGTATTTTTAGTAGAGACAGGGTTTCATTATGTTGGCCAGTCAGGCCTCAAACTCCTGGCCTCAAGTGATCTGCCCACCACAGCCTCCCAAAGTGGTGGCATTACAGCCACCATGCCCAACCTCTATGTTATATTTCTGCTAAAAATGTTTATCCCAAACGTAATAATAGGAAAACAGACAAATAGAAACACAATCTGCGAAACAGTTCACCTCGATTCTTCAGAATGCCCTGAAAGACGAAGTCTGAGGAACTGTCCTCGATTAGGAGCAGCTAAAGAGACATGGGAACTAAATATAGTATCTGAACCAGGATTAGATCCTGAATCATGAACAAATTTACCAAGGATATTATTGGGACTACTGGGACATTTGAATATGGGCTGAATATTACATACAAGTATTTTATCAGCCGGGCACGGTGGCTCACACCTGTAATCCCAGCACTTTGGGAGGCCGAGGCAGGTGGATCACAAGATCAGGAGATCAAGACCAGCCTGGCCAATATGGTGAAACCCCACCTCTACTAAAAACACAAAAATTATCCAGGCATAGTGGCATGTGCCTGTAGTCCCATCTACTCGGGAAACTGAGGCAGAAGAATCACTTGAACCCGGGAAGCAGAGGTTGCAGTGAGCTGAGATGTTGCCACTGCACTCTAGCCTTGGGAAACGGAGCAAGACTCTGTCTAAAAAAAAAAAAATAGTTTTGGCTGGGCATGGTAGCTCCTGCCTGTAATCTCAGCACTTTGGGAGGCTAAGGCTGGCAGACGGCTTGAGCTCAGGAGTTCAAGACCAGCCTAGGTGACAAAGTGAGACCTGTCTCTACAAAAAATACAAAAAAATCAGCTGGGCATGGTGGTGCACACCTATAGTTCCAGCTACTTTGGAGACAGAGGTAGAAGGATGGCTTGAACCTGGGAGGCAGAAGTTGCAGTGAGCCAAGGTCAGGCCATTGTACTTCAGCCTGGGTGACAGAGCCAGACCCTGTCTCAAAAATAATAATTTTAGTGATCCCTTCAGCAGCACATATACTTAAATTAGAACAGTATGGAGAAGATTAGCATGACCCCTGTGCAAGGATGACACACAAATTCATGAATCATTTCATAGAAAGCCAAAAATGTATTTAAAAATGAGTTTTAATTAAGAACAGTCACACATTAAGATACCTAGAACCTTCTATGTTTTGTCAGCGCACCCTGCTCTGTCGAATGGGAACTGGAATCCACTATCTGAGAAGGCATTTACCTTTCGCAGCAAGATTCAAGTCCAAGTCCCTGTTCCACGTTCTGGAACATCAGGCTGTAGTCAGCGTGGGTCTATCAAAGGCAGCAACTCTCCACAACGAGAATTCAGTTTCAGACATGCCAAGTCATCTGACCGTGTGGGCCCAATGTTCAGTATTGCAATTGGCAGCTTCTTCTCCTGGGCAGTGAGGATAAACCTGTAACCAGAGTACACCTGCATGGGAAAGACACACGTAAGAATGTATAGGTTCTCCAGATCTAGAAAAAGTTAAACCAGCCAGGCATGGTGGCTCACGCCTGTAATCCCCAGCAGTTTGGGAAGCCGAGGCAGGCAGATCATGAGGTCAAGAGTTTGAGACCAGCCTGGCCATGATGGTGAAACCCTGTCTCTACCAAAAATACAAAAATTAGCCTGGCGTGGTGCTAGGCACCTGTAATCCCAGCTACTTGGGAGGCTGAGGCAAGAGAATTGCTTGAACCTGGGAGGCGGAGGTTGCAGTGAGCTGAGATGGCACCATTGCATTCCAGCCTGGGTGACAGAGCAAGACTCTGTCTCAAAAAAAAAAAAAAAAAGCCAGGCTCAGTGGCTCACGCCCATAATCCCAACACTTTGGGAGGCTGAGGCAGGCAGATCATGAGGTCAGGAGATTGACACCATCCTGGCTAACATGGTGAAACCCCATCTCTACTAAAAATACAAAAAATTAGCTGGGCATGGTGGCACGCGCCTATAGACCCAGCTACTCAGGAGGCTGAGGCTGGAGAACTGCTTGAACCTGGGAGGTGGAGGTTGCAGTGAGCAGAGATTGCGCCACTGCCCTCCAGCCTGGGTGACAGAGCGAGAGAGAGACTCCCTCTCAAAATAAAGAAAAAAGAAAAAAGTTAAACCAAACGGGGGGGGTCTCTCCAGGACTTCCAATTCTGCACAAGGGGAAGTTACCACTCTAGCCAACTCAGATACCTGCAAGGATGATCCCACCACCAAGAGGGAGTCAGCTTCTTTTACACGCTTGTGCACAAAATCAACTTTGTCAGGGTTCACTGTGTCTCCGAAGAAGACGACGTCTGGTTTCAGACGGCCTCCACATTGAACGCAGGATGGGACCTGAAAGTTCTGGACTTGCTCCTCTGAGAGAAAGGCGTCACCATCAGGAGCCAGGCCATGGGCCTCCGCACTCCAGGTGGGGTTTAGGACTTGGAAGCGCTCCTGCAGCAACCCCCGGGGAGTCTGCTCCCCGCAATCCAAGCACAGGACCCTGGAACCAAGGAAGACGCCAACTGAACAGCCTGCCCTTGGGAGGCACACAGCTGCCAGAGACGTTTCATCCCCAGCCATTTCCAGCCCTTCCAGCACTGCTTCTTTCCCTCACACACAATCCCCACCCCGCGTTAGGCATACTTTCTATTTTTTTTTTTATTTTTGGAGACAGGGTCTGGCTGTTGCCCAGGCTGGAATGCAGTGGCATAATCTCAGCTCACTGCAGCCTCGACCTCCTAGGCTCAAGTTATCCTCCCACCTCAGCCTCCTGAGTAGCTCAGACTACACTATAAACATGTGCCACCATGCCCAGCTACGTTTTGTATTTTTGGTAGAGATGGTGTTTCACTATGTCACCCAGGCTAGTCTCAAACTCCTGGCCTCAAATGATCCTCCCACCTTGGCCTCCTAAAATGCTGGGATTACAGGCATAAGCCACTGTGCCTGGCCCATCTGTTTCCTTTCCGTACACTCCTTCCTAACCTTCTGCTATAGCCAACTAATATCCTTGACATGACTGCAAATGTCTTGCCTGCTGATTTCCTCAGCGCCCAAACCTTCGTTTTTCCCTCTATCCTTTCCCTTGTTGATCTGCTGCATTCGCCACTGTCTATTACCATCCTCTCTAATTACTTCTCCTCCTTGGTTTCCAGGACACTGTCTCCTGCTTCCCTTCTCACCTCTCTAATCACCAGAGCTTGAGCTTGAGCCGCTGATAGGGAGCAGTTTGTGTCTTTTTTATTTTTATTTTTTTAGACAAAGACTCGCTCTGTCACCCAGGCTGGAGTGCAGTGGCACAATCTTGGCTCACTGCAACCTCCACCTCCTGAGTTCAAGTGATTCTCCTGCCTCAGCCTCCCAAGTAGCTGGGATTAAAGGAGCATACCACCACGTCCAGCTAATTTTTATAATTTTAGAAGAGGCGGAGTTTCACTATGTTGGCCAGGCTGCTCTCAAACTCCTGACCTTGTGATCTGCCTGCCTTGGCCTCCCAAAGTGCTGGGATTACAGGTGTGAGCCACCATGCCCAGCCACTGTTTTTTGTTTGTTTCTTTGTTTTTTAAGAGACAGGGTCTTGGCCAGGTGTGGTGGCTCATACCTGGAATGCAGTGGCATGATCATAGCTCACTGCAACCTTGAACTCCTGGGCTCAAGAGATCCTCCTGCGTTGGCCTCCTAAAGTCCTGGGACTATAGGTGTGAGCTACCACACCCAGCCTCATTTTCATCCTTTTAGTTCTAGTCAGCCATCAGATTATGTTGATTTTCTTCTTTTAAAAGTCCCCCTGTGGCCAGGCGTGGTGGCTCACACTTTATAATCCCAGCACTTTGGGAGAGTGAAGTGAGAGAATTGCTTGAGCCCAGGAGTTCCAGACCAGTCTCCGTTTCCTTGGGAAAAGGAGGAAGACTCTGTCTTTTTTTTTTTTGAGACAAGGTTTTGCTGTCTCCCATGCTGGGGTGCAATGACACAATCTCGGCTGATTGCAACCTCTGCCTCCCGGGCTCAAGCAGTTCTCCTGCCTCAGCCACCAGAGCAGCTGGGATTACAGGCACCCACTACCATGCCCAACTAATTTTTATAGTTTTAGTAGAGATGGGGTTTCGCCATGTTGGCCATGCTGGTCTCGAACTCCTGACTTCATGTACTGCCCACCTTGGTCACCCAAAAATGCTGGGACTTCAGGCATGAGCCACCACACCCAGCCAAAAAGTTTTGTTTAACTAGCTGGACGTGGTAGCATGTGCCTAGAGTCCTAGCTGCTCTGGAGGCTGAGGCCAGAGGATTCCTTGAGCCCAGGAGTTCTAGGTTACAGGGAGCTATGATGGCACCACTGCATTCTAGACTGGGTGTCAGAGCCAGAACCTGTCTTTAAAAAAAAAAAAAAGGCAGGCCACGCACAGTGGCTCATACCTGTAATCCCAGCACTTTGGGAGGCCAAGGAGGCAGGCAGAACACCTGAAGTCAGGAGTTTGAGACCAACCTGACCAACATGGTGAAACCCCATCTCTACTAAAAATGCAAAAATGATCCAGGCATGATGGCAGGTGCCTGTAATCCCAGACACTCAGGAAGCTGAGGCAGTAGAATTGCTTGAACCTGGGAGATGGAGGTTGCAATGAGCCAGGATCACACAACTGCACTCCAGCCTGGGTGACAGAGTGAGACTCTGTCTCAAAAAAAAAAAAAAAAAAAAAAGGCCGGGCATGGTTTCTCACACCTGTAAGCCTAGCACTTTGGGAGGTCAAGGCTGGTGGATTACCTGAGATTAGAAGTTCGAGACTAGCCTAGCCAACACGGCAAAATGCCATCTCTACTAAAAATACAAAAATTAGCCAGGTGTGGTGGTGCACACCTGTAATCCCAGCTACTCAGGAGGGGAATTGCTTGAACCTGGGAGGTGGAATTTGCAGTGAGCTGAGATCTTGCCACTGCACTCCAGCCTGCCTGACGGGAGTGAGACTCCATCTCAAAAAAAAAAAAAGACCCCTGTGAAATATCAAGAAGTCCTGGATTTGTTTTCAAATGCTTAAGAAGAGACAGGGAGAGCATGGATAAAGTAGACATGACAAAATCTTGATAAAACCTTGGAATCTGGGCGATGGTATATGATGGTATTCTCTTTTGTGAATGTTTGAAATTTTCATTACTAAAAAAAGAGATTTTTATCATGAAAAAATTATTTTAATAAACCCATAAGCATCATTAACTCAAATTCCCTAGATACTCTTAGTCTAGGCCCTTCAGGCTGACCTCCCTGACGTGCTCTTTTCAATCCTGTCTAGCCTTCCTCAAATGCTATTTTCATCCTGTTGCTTTCTTGCTCCGAAACCACTAATAAACCCCCTTGGTGTCTCACAACAGACCCAACTGCACACTCTGATTTTCAAATGCAACCATGATTTGGGTCTAACTTTCCCAGACAATCTGGTTTCTACAATTTCCAGGTCCAAACCTCTACAGAGGCCAGGCCAGAGTCTTCTTGGGTCTACAATTTCCCTTCATCTGGAAAGCCGTTTCCCCCTTTTACCTAGAGAAATCTGAGCCAGTTTCAAGCCCCCTATGCCCATAAAAGCTTTCTTGGGGCTGGGTGCGGTGGCTCACGTCTGTAATCCCAGCACCTTGGGAGGTTGAGGCGGGCAGATCACCTGAGGTCAGGAGTTCAAGACCAGCCTGACCAACCTGGAGAATAAACCCCATCTCTACTAAAAATACAAAATTACCTGGTGTGGTGGCACATGCCTATAATCCCAGCTACTCGGGAGGCTGAGGCAGGAGAATCCCTTGAACCCGGGAGGCAGATGTTGCAGTGAGCCGAGATCCTGCCATTGTACTCCAGCCTGGGCAACAAAAGCGAAACTCCATAAAAAGCTTTATTGGGCCAGGTGTGGTGGCTCACACCTGTAATCCCAACACTTTGGAAGACTGAGGAAGGAGGATGGCTTGAGCTCAGGAGTTAGACCAGACAAGACAACACAGCAAGACCCTGTCTCTATTAAAAAAAAAAATTAAAAAGTTTTCTCAACTGATTATCCAATCTTTACTAAATTTGTGTATTTGAACATGCACAGCATATAAATCAAGAACAACACTATTTAGCAATCATGCGTGGTCACTTATCATTAGTTATGGGTTTTGTTTGTTTTGTTTTTGAGAAGGCGTTTCGCTCTTGTTGCCCAGGTTGGAGTGTAGTGGTGCGATCTCGGCTCACTGCAACCTCCGCCTCCCAGGTTCAAACAATTCTCCTGTCTCAGCCTCCTGAGTAGCTGGGATTATAGACATGTGCCACCATGCCCAGCTAATTTTGAATTTTTAGTAGAGACGGGGTTTCATCATGTTGGTCAGGCTGGTCTTGAACCCTTGACCTCAGGTGATCCACCCACCTCAGCCTCCCAAAGTGCTGGGATTACAGGCATGAGCCACCCCGCCCGGCCAATTATGTTATTTTCATGTACCCCCAAATATTACAAAGTTCTTGCCTATAAAGTGGCCGTGTTTTATACTTTGTTGTTTTGTTTTGAGACAACATTTTTCTGTTGCCCAGGCTGGAGTGCAGTGGTGCAATCTCGGCTCACTGCAACCTCTGCCACCCATGCTCAAATGATTCTCCTACCTCAGCCTCCCGAGTAGCTGAAAATACAGGTATGCACCACCATGCCCAGCCAATCTTTGTACTTTTAGTAGAGATTGGGTTTCCCCATATTGGCCAGGCTGGTCTCAAACTCCTGAGCTCAAATTGTCCGCCCCCCTCAGCCTCCCAAAATGCTGGGGTTACAGGTGTGAGCCACTGCGCTCAGCCTATCCTTTGGTTTTGACCTCTCCACACCACTAAGAAGCACAATAGTGTCATAATATACTTCATAGTATAATGTATGTACACCATACATTCTAGGCACCCGGTAAATAGTTCACTACTGGCCGACTGACTTCAGTCCTCAGAGAAGCCTCTCCGGGGCTTAAAGAAAGAGTCTCCAGGCTGGGCACAGTGGCTCACACCTGTAATCCCAGCACCTTGGGAGGCTGAGGCAGGTAGATCACGAGGTCAGGAGTTCAAGACCAGACTGGCCAACACAGTGATACTCCGTCTCTACTAAAAATACAAAAAATTACCCGAATATGGTGGTGCACTCCTGTAGTCCCTGGGAGACTGAGGCACGAGAATTGCTTGAACCTGGGAGGCAGAGGTTGTGGTGAGCCAAGACCCTGCCACTGCACTCCAGTCTGGGTGACACAGCAAGACTCTAGCTCAAAAAAAAAAAAGTTTTTGTAGAGACTGAGTCTGGCTGTGTTACGCAGGCTGGTCTTGATCTCCTGGCCTCAAGCAATCCTCCTGTCTCAGCCTCCTGAGTTGCTGGGATGACAGGTATGAACCACAGCACCTGGTGCGCATGCAGTTTCCTGTGTCTTTCTTGCCTTGATGTTCTCTGCCCATGGAAGCCTCCTTGGGAGGAGCAGAGTCAAAATGTTAAGGAGTTAATTCCACTAGAGCAATCCTGGCCCAATGAGGGAAGAAAGATGGTGAATAAATACCCAGCTTCAAGGCCAAGCACAGTGGCTCACACCTATAATCCCAGCACTTGCAGATGCCAAGGCAGGAGGATCACATGACCCCAGGAGTTCAAAACCAACCTGGGCAACATGGTAAGACTGTGTCTCTACAAAAAATAAAAATAAAATTAAAAATTAGCTGAGTGTGTTGGTGTTTGCCTGTAGTCCCAGCTACTTAGGAGGCTGGGGTGAAAGGATCACTTGAGCCCAGGAGATTGAGCTGTAATGAGCTGTAATCACACCACTGCACTCCAGCCTGTGTGACAGAGTGAGATTCTGGTTTCTGTCACACACAGACACACACACACACACACACACCACACAAAGGAAAAAAAAAGAAAAAAGAAAAAAAATCACCCTAGCTTGCTCAACTTTCTTTTTTTTTCAGACAGTCTTACTCTGTCGCCCAAGCTGGAGTGCAGGGGCAAGATCTCAGCTCACTGCAACCTCTGCCTCCCAGGTTCAAGCGTTTCTCCTGCCTCAGCCTCCTGAGTAGCTGGGATTAGAGGTGTGTGCCACCACACCCAGCCAATTTTTGTATTTTTAGTACAAACGGGGTTTTGCCATGAAACTTGAACTCCTGACCTCAGGTAATCTGCCGGCCTTGGTCTCCCAAAGTGCTGGGATTACAGCAGCTGTAATCCACAACTGGCCTCAACTTTCTTTTTTTTTTTTGAGACGGAGTTTCGTTCTTGCTACCCAGGCTGGAGTGCAATGGCGTGATCTCGGCTCACCGCAACCTCCGCCTCCTGGGTTCAGGTAATTCATCTGCCTCAGCCTCCTGAGAACCTGGGATTACAGGCATGCGCCACCATGCCCAGCTAATTTTTTGTATTTTTAGTAGAGACGGGGTTTCACCATGTTGACCAGGATGGTCTCGATCTCTTGACCTCGTGATCCACCCACCTCGGCCTCCCAAAGTGCTGGGATTACAGGCGTGAGCCACCGCACCCAGCTCAACTTTCTTTTTAAAAAAAGGCTGGGCACGATGGCTCACAGCTGAAATCCCAGCACTTTGGGAAGCCAAGGCAGGTGGATCACAAAGTCAGGAGTTTGAGACCAGCCTGGCCAATATGGTAAAACCCCATCTCTACTAAAAATACAAAAGTTAGCTGGGTGTGGTGGCTATAGTCCCAGCTAATTGGGAGGCTGAGGCAGGAGAACTGCTTGAATCCAGGAGGCAGAGGTTGCAGTGAGCTGAGATTGCACCAGTGCACTCTAGTTTAGGTGACAGAGGGAGATTCTGTCTCAAAAAAAAAAAAACCCATTATTTTATTTACTTTATTTCTATAGAGACAGGATCTCTGTTTTAAGCCTGCCAAGAAAAAGAAAAAAAGATGGGATCTCACTATGTTGGCCAGGTTGGTCCTGAACTCTTAGCCTCAAGCAATCTACCTGCCTCAGCTAGGATTACAGGCATGAGACATTGTGCACAGCTCTCAACTTCTTTTTTCCTTTCCTTTCCTTTTTTTTTTTTTGAGATGGAGTCTTCTCTGTTGCCCATACTGGAGTGCAGTGGTGTGATCTTGGCTCACTGCAACTTCTGCCTCCCAGGTTCAAGGGATTTTCCTGCCTCAACCTCCCAAGTAGCTGGGATTACAGGCATGTGCCACCACACCCGGCTAATTTTTATATTTTTAGTAGTGACGACGGGGTTTCACCATGTTGGCTGAAGCTGGTCTAGAACTCCTGAGCTCAAGTGATCTGCCCACCTCAGCCTCCCAAAGTGCTGGGATTACAGGCCGTGAGCCAAGGCACCCAGCTCCAGCCCTTGAGTTTCAATGAGACAATCCTCAGCATGTCCTAGACAGTTGGAGGGTCCTCCCTCTCAACTGTCTCAAGGTCTAAGACTGTGGTGATCAAGTCAGCCAAGGTCCCTACTCTCCCAAAACAACACAAGTGTTTGCATTCAAACTGTCTACACCTCCTGCACCTGTGCATGCATCCGTGGAGCTCTGTTAAGCGCCGACTCCCCGCCTTGGTGTGCAGAGCATCCACATTTTGGGTCACCAACCAGTACAGCTTTCCGAGTTTCTCCCAGGTGCTCAAAGCCCAGTGTGCAGGGTTAGGCTGGTGGGAGGAGAATCGAGGCCAGCCCACGAAGCTTCTTGCCCAGTACCGCTGGCGGATTGGGGCACTCCGGACAAAATCGCTATGTTGGATGGGCCTGCGGTCAGTGCGGGCATAAAGCCCCACGTTTTCTGACCTGTAGTCTGGTATTCCTGATTCGGTGGAGATTCCTGCCCCAGTCATCACGAGGAGTCTCTTGGAAAGGGTGATGAAGCGCTGTAACTCTTTGACCTTCTCAGGGTCCAAAGGAGGACTTGCTGGCACAAATAACTCAGTGGAACCTTTTGAGCACTGCCGGCTGGGGTTTGCAATCCCACGGCCTTTTGCTGACCTGAAAGTCAACCCAAAGCTCATCTTCATTCTAAAGAAAAAGAAACCTCGTGAGAAACTGGGGTGTTTTTTTCCCTCTCTCTTTTTTTTTTTTTTGAGATAGCATCTCCCTCTGTCTCCCAGGCTGGAGTGCAGTGGTGCAATCACAGCTCACTGCAAACTCCATCTCCTGGGTTCAAGCAATTATCTTGCATCAGCCTCCCAAAGAGTGGGATTACGGGTGTGCACCACCACACCTAGCTAATTTTTCTGTATTTTAGTAGAGACGGACTTTCACCATGTTGGCCAGGCTGGTCTTGATATCCTGACATCAGGTGATCTGCCTGACTTGGTCTTCCAAAGTGCTAGGATTATAGGCATAAGCCACTGCACCAGGTCATGGCTTTTTTGTTTGTTTGTTTTTGTTTTTGAGACAGAGTCTGTACCCTCCACGTCCCAGGTTCAAGTGATTCTCCTGCCTCAGCCTCCCAAGCTGGGACTATAGGCAAGTGCCACCATACCTGGCTAATTTTTGTACTTTTAGTAGAGATGGGGTTCCACCATGTTGGCCAGGCTGGTCTCGAACTTCTGAGCTCTAGTGATCTACCTGCCTCAGCATCCCAAAGGGCTGGAGTCTCGGAGCCTGACCCTAGTAGGTCAGGTTTTGATGAAGTCCTTTTCAGTGTCCAAAGGAGGACTCGCTGGCACCAATAACCCAATGGAGCCTTTCAAGCACTGCCAGCTGGGGTTTGCAATCCAACGGCCTTTTATACCTTTCAGAGTTTTGATTTTGTTCATGTAATTAAGCACACGCTCACTCCTTTCATTTTTTCTTTTTTTATTTTATTTTATTTTTATTTTTTTGAGACGATGTTTTGCTCTTGTTGCCCAGGCTGGAATGCAATGGTTCGATCTCGGCTCACTTCAACCTCTGTCTCCCGGGTTCAAGCAATTCTCCTGCCTCAGCCTCCCAAGTAGCTGGGATTACAGGAATGTGCTACCATGCCCTGCTGATTTTGTATTTTTAGTAGAGACAGGGCTTCTCCATGTTGGTCAGGCTGGTCTCAAACTCCTGAACTCAGGTGATCTGCCCGCCCCAGCCTCCCAAAGTGCTGGGATTATAGGCGTGAGCCACCGTGCCTGGCTTCCTTTTATTTTTTCACTTCCCCCTTATCATTTTAATTTACCCTCCCCTGCAAACTCTGCTACTTGGACACAGCAGAGAGACAAGATCCCTTGCCAGTCAGCTTTTCTAGCTGTAAAAAGAGGGCTGGGCGCGGTGGCTCACGCATGTAATCCTAGCACTTTGGGAGGCCAAGGCAAGTGGATCACTTGAGGTCAGGAGCTCGAGACCACCGTGGCCAACATGGTGAGACCCCATCTCTACTAAAAATACAAAAAAAAAAAAAAAAAAAAAAAAATTAGCCAGACGTGGTGGCACGTGCCTGTAATCCCAGCTACTGGGGAGGCTGAGGCAAGATAATTGCTTGAACCCGGGAGGCGGAGGTTGCAGTGAGTGAGCCGAGATCGCGCCATTGCACTACAGCCTGGGAAAAGAAACGAGACTCCGTCTAAAAAAAAAAAAAAGACTTTGACATATTATTTGATAAAATGCACAAATCCTCTAGTGACATGCACCCCGTATGTAAACATTATTTTATGTTTGGTTTTCCAGATTTGAGATCAGGACCCCGCTTTCTCCTTGACATTCCACAGCAACACGTGAACAGCTAAACAAACGCACAGTCCGGTTTCCTGAGACCAAAGGGCCAGGAAAACCCCGCTGAAAACGTCCTTCAGTGGAACAGCTGCTCTCTTCCAGGTCCCCCCAAGGGCAAAGAGGAGAAACAGAATCCCTCACAAGAAATCCATAACTTCAGAAACCCGCAGCCCTCACAGAACACACTTACCTCTCACGGTTCCAGGACCACTTCACAACCCACGGTGGGATTGTTTGATTGCACTTGCATTTTGGGACATGTAGTCCAGAAAGCTTAAGTGATGTTAGAAAAACTACAAGTCCCACAATCCTCCGCGTCTCGCAATTTACGTCCAGGATCGCCTCCTGTCGGCTCTTTCTGGTCAGAGGTTCTCCCTTAATATAAAAGCTTATAATCGTGGATTGTTTTGTTTTGTTTTCAATTTTTGTAGGCACATGGTAGATGTATGTATTTATAATGTACATATGACTTTTTTTCTTTTCTCTCTTTTTTTTCTTTTTTGAGACGGAGTTTTGCTCTTGTCACCCAGGCTGGAGTGCAGTGGCGCGTTCTCGGCTCACTGCACCCTCCCCCGTCCCGGCTTCAAGCGATTCTCCTGTTTCAGCTTCCAGAGTAGCTGGGATTACAGGTGCCCGCCACCACGCCCGGTAAATTTTTTTTTTTTTTTTTTTTTTGTATTTTTAGTAGAGACGGGGATTTTGCCATATTCCCCGGGCTGGTCTTGAACTCCTGACCTCAAGTGATCTGCCCGCCTGGCGCTCCGAAAGTACTGGGATTACAGGCGTGAGCCACCACGCCCGGCCGTCTTTTTTATTTTTTGTCTTTTTTTCTTTTTCTGTGCCTATCTATGCTTTACCTACATGAGACGTTTTGGTACAGACATGCAATGAGAAATAAGCACATCATTAATCATGGATCTAGATTTGACTTTTTTTTTTTTTAGGTTTTTGTGTTTTTAGTAGACAGAGTTTCACCATGTTAGCCACGCTGGTCCCAAAGTCTTCATTACTCAAGTGATCCACTGGCCTCCGCCTCCCAAAGAGCTGGGATAACAAGCCTGAGCCACTGTGACCGGCCTAGATTTGACTCATTCTAAATGTCAGTGTTCATGATCCTTTTCATTCACAGCGACAGAATCAGGTCCTCTGCTTTTGGCAAAATACCTTAAACTTGTGAAGAAATACGTTCATAAATATCTGAAAAAGTGATGTTTTTGCGGTTAATATGAAGCCAAATGTATTATACATGGACTAATATACTTAACTTGCTTGGATTCTTCAATTTTATTTATCATCTTGGTTTTTCAATAAGTTAATCAGCACAATGCCTGCATCTCACTCCCAGTGATTCTGATCTACAAATTTCCTAATTGTCCCTAACGTGTAGACAACAGAACCGCTGCTCTACAGCATAACGTAAATAAGATGTCAGTAAATTTGTGAGTGTCTTTGGACATAAAGATGGCAGCTAGCAGGGGCCTTGAGGACCATCTAAGGATTCCCTTCCTCCGTTTTAAGATGAACTGGGCCAGACCCAGTGGCTCCCACCTGTAATCCCAACACTTTGGGAGGCCAAGACAGGAGGATCACTTGAGCCCCAAAAGTTCAAGAGCAGCCTGGGCGAAACAGTGAGACTCGATCACTACAAAAAAATAAAACTAGCTGGCTGTGGTGGTGTGTACCTCTAGTCCCAGCTACTCAGGAAGTTCAGGTGGGAGGCACTTTTTGCTCAGGAGGTTGAGGCAGCCCTCAAACTCCTGAACTCAAGGAAAGCTGTGGCCTTGGCCTCCCGAAGTGCTGGGATTACAGATGTGTGCCACCACGCCTGGTCTCCTTATCGACTTGCCAGCATCCTTTCACAAATCCCCTGACTCTGTGACAACAAGCAGCTCTCCAGAAAGATGCTTTGAAGACAAGACATGATAGAGCACACGGCCCTCCATGTCTCTTCCCTAAGTTGCTATATTAATTGAAAGATAAATGACCCTGGTCCTTGCCTTTTCCTGCACAAGATAATGTATGATGGGGTTAGCAATGATATCTCTGTAATCTATAACCAGGTATACTCTTGCATGCAAACCTTGATGTGATTGTGCTTTAATTTAACTTTCAAGCAAGTTTAATGTGATTTCGCAGGTACTGAACACTCACCACTTGTATGTAAGTAGGCTGAAATTCTGTTGGACCAGTCTGATGGAACTGCCCCCACTCAATAGTCCTTGGTCTATAATCCTCAGTAAGACTTGTAAGTAAAACTAACTTTAATTCTTTTTTTCTTTTTTAATTTGAGACACAGTCTCGCTCTGTTGCCAGGCTGGAGTGCAGTGGCTCCATTTTGGCTCACTGAAACCTCCCCCTCCTTGGCTGAAGCTATTCTCCTGCCTCAGCCTCCAGAGTAGCTGGGATTATAGGCACCTGCCACCACACCCAGCTAATTTTTATACTTTTAGTAGAGATGGGGTTTCATCATGTTGGCCAGGCCGGTTTTGAACTCTTGACCTCAGGTGATACACTTGCCTCAGCCTCCCAAAGTGCTGGGATTACAGGTGTGATCCACTGTGCCCAGCCACTTTAATTCCCTTTTATTTTTTTTGTAGAAATGGAGTGTTGCTCTGTCTCCAGGCTACAGTGCAGTGGTGCAATCTCGCCTCAGCTCACTGCAACCTCTGCCTTGTGGGTTCAGGTGATTCCCCTGCCTCAGCCTCCCCAGTAGCTGGGCCTACAGGCACACGCCACCACACCCAGCTAATTTTTTGTATTTTAGTAGAGACGGGGTGATCTGCCTGCCTCAGCCTCCCAAAGTGCTGGGATTACAGGTGTGAGCCACCGCGCCCAGCCAAGAAAACCCTTTTGAATTAACATATGATCCAGCAATTTTACTTCTAGGTATATGCCCAAAGAAATAGCAAACAGGAACTTAAACTGATGCCTGTGCATACCAATAGCAGCATTGCCTAGGCAACAGGAGTGAAACTTCATCTCAAAAAAAAAAAAGGAAAAAAATGAATGGGCCAGTTACCAGTGGCTCACACTTGTAATCCCAGCACTTTGGGAAGCCGACGTGGGCAGATCACCTGAGGTCAGGAGTTTGAGGCCAGGCTGGCCAACGTTGTGAAATCCTGTCTACTAAAAATACATCCCAGCACTTTGGGAGGCCGAGGTGGGCGGATCACGAGGTCAAGAGATCGAGACCATCCTGGTCAACAAGGTGAAACACCGACTCTACCAAAAATGCAAAAATTAGCTGGGCATGGTGGTGCGCACCTGTAATCCCAGCTACTCAGGAGGCTGAGGCAGGAGAATTGCTTGAACCCAGGAGGCGGAAGTTGTGGTGAGCCGAGATCGCGCCATTGAACTCCAGCCTGGGTAACAAGAGTGAAACTCCGTCTCAAAAAAAAAAAACAAAGATATTAGGCAGGTAATCCCAGCTACTTGGGAGACTGAGGCAGGCGAATCGCTTGAATCCGAGAGACAGAGGTTGCAGTGAGCCGAGATAACAGTGAGCCGAAATCGCGCCAGTGCACTCCAGCCTAGGCAACAAGAGCAAAAACTCCATCTCAAAAAAAAAAAAGATAAACAAAATGTCATACAATGAAATATTATTCAGCCATAAAAGTAATGAAATCCTGACATGCTACAACATGGATGAACCTTAAAAACATTATTCTAAATGAAATAAGACTGACCCCAAAGATGAAATGATCAAATATTGTATAATTCCATATATATATATGTACCCACAGACTCATAGAGATACAAAGTCGAAAAGAGGTTGCCACGAGCTGGGAGGAGAAGGGAACAGGGGGTAAGAGTTTAATGAGTACAGTCCCAGTTTCCACCCGTGGACATGGAAGATAAAGTCCTGGAGATCACTGGTGGTGATGGTTGCACAATGAGAATATATTCTATGCCGGTGAATGTACACTTAAAGGTTAAAATGGTACATTCTATGTTTACTTTGCCACAAGTAAAAAAAAAAAAAGACAAAACAGTAATCGTCTTTGGAGAAGTCAGTTACACTGAATCTGGAGCCAAATGAACAGAACCCTGACTTAAATCCCTTTTCTCTCAACAGCCCTGTGCAATCTCTGAATTAAGTCTATTAGCATGTTCCTCCCATAATGCTTTGCTTCATATTCACCAAAACCTAGTTAGTGAAAACAGCAACAAATATGTAGAAACTACCTACGTAGTTCAACAGCATATTTCTATGATGGCATAATTTTCAAACAAACAATAATTGAAGATTTTTCCATGGGTCCTAAACTCAGCTTTGTGAAATAGGAAGCGGGCTTATTGGGAGTGATGGGCAGGGGGGCGAATTTCTTAGCTTTGCGCAGTGGCAGTATCGTAGCCAATGAGGTTTATCCGAGGCGCGATTATTGCTAATTGAAAACTTTTCCCAATACCCCGCCGTGACGACTTGCAATACAGTCGGCGCTGGCAATTTTTGACAGTCTCTACGGAGACTGATTTTTCTGGTACTAAAAGAAAGGTTATTCTTACTTATATGCTTGTAGGCTAAGTGTGGTAAACCAGTAATATGAATAGTTCCTGTTCTTCACCGAAAGTGCTTTGAGGTTTAAGTAGGTCATAGTTACTGTTGCCATGATCTTTGCTTAGAGTAAATAGATGCTATTGTGCTGTTGTGAAGTTTGACAGCCGGCTTGCTTGTTCGTTCTATTTTTCTTGCCCTCTCGCTGTGTTCTCCACTCTGATTTTGTTACGGAGACGTTTTAAAATTTTCCCCAGCTCTCCCTGCCTGCTGTTTCTGCACCGTCGAACACAGTTAATCCTTCCTCTGTGCCCTCCGGTTCACTTTTCTCACCGCCTACTCATTGCTCAAAATTCGAGTCAACCCTGTCATCTCTGTGACGTCACGTTGATTTGCATAAGATTCCCCAGCGTCCCAAGCGAATGTTCTTAGTTTCCCAAATCTGAATGTTCGATACGAGATGTTCCAACAACAAGAAACCGCCCACGCAGATGCGCCTTAAATATAGCCGGTGGAATGGGAACACGTCGTATCCACGGACGCGCTGGCAGACACTCACCCTCAATGTAATAAGAGTCATCATCCGTGGGGGAGCGATGTGACGCCTAAAATCTTCAGCTTTGCGCAGTGGCAGTATCGTAGCCAATGAGGTTTATCCGAGGCGCGATTATTGCTAATTGAAAACTTTTCCCAATACCCCGCCATGACGACTTGAAATATAGTCGGCATTGGCAATTTTTGACAGTCTCTACGGAGACTGAACTATTTTAGGTTTAAAGAAAGCTGGTGGCAGTTTGCAGATATTACGTATAGTTGTTTATGCTTTTGAAACCATATTTTGGCATTGCGTTATAGAGTTTTGTTCTCTTTTTTTCTTTTCATAGGAAATTGAGTGTTTTGAGCTTCTGTGTGAATATTGCGCCTAGTTTTCCAAGACGCTGTGGTTTGGCAATTGGATTCCCAGTCATCACTGATCTTTGTCCCCATGCATCTAGTGAGTGGGGCGATCCACCTCGTTTGTCACTGAAGGTCACAGATTCCCCTAAAGAAAAGGGGAACTCTGAAATTAACACATTCAGTCTTTTTTTTTTTTTTGAGACGGAGATTTCGCTGTTGCCCAGGCTGCAGTGTAGTGGCACAATCATGATCTCGGCTCACTGCAA